GGGGAAAAAACACATTTTAGTCACCTTGGTGTGTAAGTTGCAGGACTCGCAAATTTATGCAAAAATGTGCGACTTATACGGTGAAAAATACAGTAATTTTTTGAAAACCACAATTCGTAGTTTTAAATTTCTGAATTGAAAAAAAAAAGTTTTCCTGGTATGAGTTTGAAATGTATTCTGCTTTATTTTCCCACAAATAAAGAACATCTAATTCAAAAAGATAACTGTGGTCAGTTGTTTACTTAAAATTGTGCTTATCAAATACATTTCTTTAAAAAAAACAATGTTCAACACTGTATTCTGCGCTCTTAATAATAATAATTCAGTTTTTTTTTTTAGACTTGTTGCCTGGATTATCTTCCCCTGTTGCTTTACGTTCTGTCTCTGTGCCATGTCCTAACGTGCCAAGGAAGAATGTTGTCTCCAGACTTTTCACTTTTTAGGTGTGTAATTAGATGCAGTAGTGTGTGTCCTAGCCATGGGCCATATCTACTCCAGTTTTATTTTAAAAAGCTCCATCTTCTAGACAGACATAATTACAGACCTGACAGACAGGCTCATTCATATATAAAACAAGGCAGTCATGTATTACATGCCTTTTTTATTCTTATCACAACTTGACTCCAAAAGGTAAGTCAGCTGAACAATAAGTTACAAATAGTAATCCCTTTTTGGCACCATTACTCAACAATAAAGTTGTTTTTCCTCAGACTCAATACAGAATCAATGCTTCCCAAGTCTCAAACACTGAGTGTAGAGGCCACACAACTCTTTTCACACTTCTTTAAACCACAAATCCATTTTTACACACATTGAACAATCAACTTACAGCTGCTGACATGGTGTAAACAGAAATAAGACTGATGCAGTCTGCTTGAATCAAACAGAGCAGCACAACCAGCTTATCTCTGGTTGTTTATTCTCTTAAACATCAGTTACACGTCAGAATCTCCTGAAACATTTTATAAATCAAGTCAACTTCAGTGTTTTCTTCTTCCCTTTGCTCCTTTTTCTTTTTCCGTGCATCTTTACTTTGGTTTGTAATTTATGGCAACTTGATTTCAAAAGGCAGTGAGGTTGGTAAGTAGATTCAGATGTTGTGCTCCATCCCTCCCCTTTCATACTAAAACCATTTATTAGCCGTTTTTCTCTGGATTTAAGAGTTTTTGCATTTACACTTTTGGGGAGTTGGGGATTTTTTTCAACAAAACGAGTTAGTGACTTTTAAATGAAACAAATGGGTTTATTCAGTGCAGCCACCGATTGGGGTGGGGGTGGGGGGAGTAGGTTAGGTTTAGGTTTATTTGTCATATTCAGATCAACACAAGGTCAACAATGCAATGAAATCCTCAGGCCGAGAAGAACAGTCTCAACTTGCCAAATAAACAACAAAACAAACAACAAAAAAACACTCAGTCCTAAGTACAACTCAGGCTTTTGCACAAAACGTTGTCTGTTGGTGTAGAACTGTAACTGAGCTGTTGCTGAAGATCAGGAGAATCCTTCAACAAAACTATAAACTCCTCGCTATGGAGGAGGAGCTGTACCGCAAACAGCTGAGGAGGCAGACAGCCAAAAGGAGCACAGAAATGATGAAAAGAGAGAAAACTGCAGGCACAGCTTGAAGCTAGCCTGCACAGAGCTACTGGACAATCACTTTTTTTTTCAATAAGTATTACTTGTATGGTAAGTTATCTTATTTACAGTGACAACTCCATCCATTATCTTTTACATGCTTCTTCCTTTTCAGGTTGTGGGGTCACTGGTGACCATGTGCAGCTACTGTGGGAGAGGCAGGGGACACCCTGGACAGGTCTCCAGTCCATCACAGGGACACACAAAGACAAACAAGACAAACATCCATTCACTCTCTCACTCACACCTAGAGACAATTTAGAGTTCAATCAGCCTAACATGCATGTTTTTGGTCTGTGGGAGGAAACCGGAGTACCCGGAGAAAACCCACGCATGCACGGAGAGAACATGCAAACTCCACCCAGAAAGGCTCCCCGGCCAGGATTTGTACCTGCAACCTTTTCACTGAGAGGTAGCAGCTCTACCAACTGAGCCACCGTGCTGCAATAACAATATCAGTGTTTATTATTAGACAGCTGTGTATTGTTTCCAATTCCACTGTCTAAAATTAAAATAGCAGCATGCAGAACTTTAATAAAATACTTAATTCAACACAAAAATCAAATTTCTAGGTCACTTTGGGGCAGTTAAAACCTCTGAATGCTGAGGTATTATATATATTTTTGTATCAAACGTGCTTTTTGAGTACCTTTGGTTTTCAGATATTTTCTGAGAGGAACAGCTGTTTAGTCTCTGAACATCACCTTTTTTAATGTTGTGAGTATTTTAAGATTAGAAATCAGTTTCAATACGACTGTGGCAAACTTAAAAATCCAAGTAGCCTCTGCATCTTTTCACACCTCTGAGCAGATAGTAATCAGTTTTATTCTTCAGACAGATCACGTGTTTCCTCTGACGTCTCGGCTGCAAACGGAGCTGGGAGCACTTCCTCTATCATTTCCATGACAGACTGCAAGTGCACTCTTTATCTCCACATGCACACAACTGTAAATGTAGAATTAAATTCATTTTATTCAAGCTTTCCAAACTTGTGTTTTAGACTGATTTTCATTTTTACCTACAAATAAATTAACAGTCGAATTAAAAACATTTTAAATTTTGTTCAGATTCTTTATGTTTATGCTCAGGAGTGCAAGGTGATTTTGCCCTTATTAAGCTCTTGGAAGCACCTTTTTAAAGCCTCACTGTAGCTTAATCTCATTTTTAATCTCATCAGCCTAACATTTTAACATTTTTTTCTGTAATGTGCACTCGTTGTCCCATTTCTTCCACAGAGCAACCAACTTAAACATCAAGTAGTGATCAAATCATGGGATTTCAAAGCCTGATCTGCTTCATGTACCATCTGTCTCATATTATCCAGGTAATAATCTACTTTTAATCACACAGAATAACTGCTCCATCATCTGCTCCTCCTCCCACATCCACTGCTTCCTATCTGCTTTCTTCAACAGTCTTGTTAGCATGACCGCCGCTCTCTCAGCCTCTGCCAGGAAGGAAATAATAAACAGATTATTTCTTTTCTCTCCAATGAACTTCAGACAGACTTATGTTTCATGTTTCTCTGCCTTTAGAGAGTCTTGAATCAGGAAACTACTGTTCTGCTGCACACTCATTAGTTTACAGTCCACTCAAATTGTTGCAAAGGTCCTGCAGCAGTTATGGGAGTCTGTGGCAGAAACAGAAAACAACACCTGGCTGCTAAATAACTTCTGGCCTTTCTAGTTTACATGACAAAGTCTTAAAGTCTGAGTAAATTAGAAGTGGTTTTAGGTATGTGGGAGGCATTTTTGCACTATAGCCTCAAAACCTGATTTCAACGGATTGTTTAAGAGATGATTTCTTTTCTTTTGTTTTTGTGTTTTTTTAAGTCAACAGGACTTATGTGTCTTAGGAAAAAATTGTGCAAATCGTTTAGTTTTAGAATATTCCTAAATTAATCTGAAAATTAATTAAAATATAATACTTTTGGTGGGGAAGTTATAAAATAGACAAAATAATATTGATAAGACAAGTTTCAAATCCGAAACGAGGATTATCAAGATTATTCTGTCCATGGGTTAGACGATGCTAAGATAACTGAGCGATAAATTGCAGAATGGGTTTTGGAGATATGGCGACTTTTTTTATTTTTTATTTTACTGTAGACTGTTTTAAAAAATATATATGCCTGGTTAGGATTTCATCAACAGGCAAAGAAACCAAAGGAGATAAAAAACAAAATCTTACATCAAGTCACACAAACCAAGATATTGGCATATTTTGCTAAAACAACAACAACAACAAAAAAAAAAACAATACAAAATTGTTCAAAATGAAAAACAATTTAAGATGTAGATTAACAATTCTTACCTAGCAACAATATGTGTAATAATTCTCATCCATAAATAAGTATTTGTCATCCAAGACTGCATCTTGTTTTATTTAATGTTGAATATTCTATCCATTCTTATTTTTATTATTACTATAAGATTGTTTCTGACTTGTCTCGTTTTTCCTCTGGAGCAGACATTTATTTGGTAAATGCTGCCACCTTGTGGTTAAAAGGAGAATTTAATTTTTTAAGAGTCAGTCAACGTTTCTTTGACATTTGCATTTCGCACCACACGTGGTACATGTGGTGGAACAAAATTGTGTGCACAGGGTCCCAGTTACATCCAAAAAAAGTATAACATCTAAAAGAAAAACAGTAATAAGATCTAGGATATAAACTGAGGAAAACATTTAGCTAAAAATACGCTAAACACTAATAGGACAAAAACAATACGTCGAACAGCAGCACGAACATGAGTCTGTGTGAGCAGATGAGTACAAATGAACAAACACAGCAGCATGAAATAAATCAGCATCATGATGTGATTTTTTTTAATTCGTTCATTTTAATTCATTCCTGTTTCTGTTTTATGATGATTACCCTTCTACAATATTGTTTAATCGTTTAATGTTTTGAACCTTTTAAAATACCCAGAGAGCCCCAGTGTAACTTAAGCTTGTCAATAATTTTAGCTTACATCTGCCCTTTTTTATTTATTGAACAAAAGGAAGTGTCAAACTGAAAATATAAGGCAGTGAGGAAGTGTGACTGTGTGATACATTTTTAAAACAACAGCTTGATCAAGTATGTCTCACTCCAACAAAAAAATCTAATGTGGAAACTTTATTTTATTTCATTTTTATTTTATTTGACAAGTATTAGTAACAAAATAATTATTTAAATATGTATACAGCAGTGACATGTCTTCATTTTTTGAATCACTTCGTTTCACACAGCAGCTCCAGCTCCACCCATGAGCCCCATGTGACTCGGTGACAGGGTGAGGCCCCGGGTGCACTTGTCTCTGAGGGTTCAGCAGCTCTACAGAACCAGGGGGCCAGGGCTTGAACGGAGGGAGAGGTGTAGTTTGACCGCAGCCATGGACTACCAGCAAAAGCTGGCTGAAAAACTCACCATCCTAAATGAGAGGGGGTCTGGGGTGCTGATACGTATGAACTACATTAAGAAGGTGAGACGAAAGAAGAACTTCTGACGAGCGAGTAACAAGAAATAGGGAACTTATTTTATTTATTTATTTTTAAATAAGGCAATTGTATCTGAATAAACTTACTACAGTTACAAAACAATTTAAAAACCTACATATCAGAACATGTTCTACTTCACAGCAAGGAACTGAAAGTTACTTCAGCTCTGTAAATGCCCCAATTGTCTTTATTTTATATTTCTGTTGAGCTTTTGGTCCAATAACTACTACTGAAACATATATTTTTTATTTTACAATGTGAATAAAAATGGTGTATAATGATTAATTTTAAAATATACTACTTTTAATCGATGAAGGCTGAGCATACACCAAGTTTCACAATAAAAAACTGCAGTTTATTAAACAAATTCTTAATGTACTGGTGCAAAGGATTAATCTTATAAACGTTGTGCTGTTTTTTTGGCACATATATGTGTTTGCAGACTTTGCACTGTGAGCAGTTCTGCCTTTAAACTGTAGCTAAACTTAATTCTCCAAAGAGGAAGTGCAAACAGGAAGTCGGCCTGTGTCTGTCATCTAAAACTTCAGTTATTCTGAACTCAAAACCCCAACACCCACCCATAAAAATGACAAAACAATACACAAAAAATAAAGAAATTTAGAGAACCATCCTGACCTGATGCATGCTCAATAATCCAGATAAAAAAAATCCAACAAAGTTAAGTCAGGTCTTCTGGACGGTTTCTTTTTTGTCTCATGAATTATTGAGCATGAGTCAGGATATTTTGAACCACTTTTGCCATGATGAAACCATCTTGGCACCATCAAACTGGTTGACCCATTATGTGAGGGTGCTATTTATAAGACTGAGTTTGTTGTGGCTCCTCGGACTGATGAAGTCTTTTGGATGAAAGACGAAACGTTTCAACAAAAAGAAACCGTCCAGATGACCTGAGTAACTTTGTTGGATATTTCGAGAACCGTTGCACATTCCAGTCTGTAACCCTTTGATTCATGAGGCTGAATTATAAAATGAGGTGACATAATATTTGTTAAATGATTACAGCATGAGGCACTTTGAAACACGCACCATTAAATTGATCTTCTGCTAAAAAATGCATGTTTGTGTGAGAAAACAGAGAGCTTTACCATCAGCAAAAGTAAACATGTATTGAATAATTTCATTTATAAGTCGTGATGCTGGTGTTTAATCTGTTGGACCGTGTTATTCATATATTTATGGAAACAGTTCATCATGCACAACACTTTATTAAATTATGGAATCTAACCAAATGTTAAAATGTATAACAAAACATACAGCAAATCAAATATTCCTTTTTAATGAAATGCATTTAAATAAATAAATTATGTGTCTCTTCAGGTAACAACAACCAAAACCTTGGGGTGTGCTGAACACATTTTGAAAATTATAAATAATATAAATACGCTGAAATTTGAAACTATCAAAAACTTTAAAATCAAATATTACAACTGTTTACAACTTATAAAAGAAAACTTTCTGCTAAACAGATGTGTGAACATACTGTATATTAAAATAAATCATGGGCATAACTTTAAACATAAATGAAAAACAAGCAAAATATAGAAATAAACATGAATCCCTTACTGCATTCTTCATCCTGTTGTTACTCCTCTTCCAGATGTGTTCGGACCCGAAGCTGCGGCCGGTCTTCCTCACTGATAAAGTGTTGGAACCTGCGATCAAATACATCAACAAGAAGTTTCCCAGTATTGACTTCAGAGGAAACATTGTAAGCACAGACCTGCCTTTGTCTGACCTGGATTATTTTTCATCATTTTGAATTATTATGCATCTGTTTCTTAATAACCACAACAGTTTAGTCATTTGTACAAAATGGGATTCATTTAATATTTCATGGCATCATATTAATCAGTTTTATCACAATTAAGTGGAAAAAACATAGAGGTCATGAAAAATCCATCCATCCATCCATCCATCCATCCATCCAGCCATCCATCTGTACATCCATACATCCATCCATACATCCATCCCCACATACGCACATCAATCCATCATCCATCCATTCATCCATCCATCCATCCAGCCATACCTCTGTACATCCATCCATACATCCATACATACATACGCACATCAAGCCATCATTCATTCATCCATCTATACATACATACATACATACATACATACATACAAACATACATCCATACATCTGTACATACATACATACATACATACATACATACATACATACATACATACATACATACATACATACATACATACATACATACATACATACATACATACATGCATACATACATACATACATACATACATACATACATACATACATACAT